ACGCTTGCGCTCCGGTAGGCGGAGAGGCTGAGGCTCATGCCAGCCTTCTCTTCGGCACCTGTTCCAGGCCTCCCTGACTTGTTTAAGATGAATCCACACGGGAAGTGTAGAGATTGACAGAAACAGGGGTTGGACAAGCCCCAAGCCTTCCAGAGAGAGGCCCCGGGGACCCCTCCTGGGCAAGGATGCTTAGCAGCTGCTGGCATCCTCAAGGGGCCAGGGGAGAGCGGCTTGTGCTCTACAGGCTCCACGATGTGAAAGCCAAGGGCGCCCTGCGGCCTTTGCTGGCCTAGCAACACACATACCGTAGTTCTCCCTGTGACTAAGTGTTATTTTTCTCAACAGACTGAGTCCGAAATAGAACTTTATTTCTCATGAATGGGAGTTAATGGCAAGTGCTGCAAAAAGGGCAGCTCGCCCCTGCGGAGTCAGCCTTGGTGGCTCTGCGGGGAGACAGTGCGGGGGCCCGGGGACAAGCATCCACGGAACACGCGTGAGCATCCACCTCGCTGGAGGAAGCCTGGACCCCATGCACGCCCTCAACGCCCCCGTTCTTAAATAGAGACCTTGCCACTACTCAAACCCAGTCCCCCGGCCACTGATCCTGTTCCTGCAGGTGGCCACACCCATGACGAGGCAGGGGCGGGGCTGGAGAACGCCCCGCAGAGGATTGAGGACAGAAATCACTGCGGCCAGAGACAGAGCTGCTTTCTTTGTCAAATAAGGTTTTTCTTCTTTGAGGGCACAGTATCATTGGCCCGTCTGGGTGGGAGGGCCAGGGAAGGGGAAGGCTGAAGTGACGCACATTCTCAGTCCTACTAGGGTTCCTTAGGACAAGGGAGGCGTCTTCAAAGTGTCCCGGGAAGAAGATCTCGGTCCCAGGGGCCTTCTCTTACTATGTGAGGCAGGAGAGTGCATGGGGCAGCGATGGCACCGGTTTCCTCATCGGAAAAAGGGGGAAAACTCTATTCCACTGACCCAGAAGGCCTTGGTATAGCTCCAGGCACATACAAAAAGCCCCCAGTAAACAGTGCGGGTACCGATGAATACTTAATAATGTATTATGTCCAGGGTCACGAATGATACTGGCCATATGTGCAGTATAATATGTTGATAAGCTTTATAGAAACACACACACACACACACACACACACACACACACACACACACACAGACACCCCCCGCCCCGCACGTAGACAGTCACTGCATCAATGCCGGAGCTGCCGCAGTGACTGCGCTGGGCTGGGCCTACGCGGAGAACCCCGTTTGGAACCTGCACAGGAGATTCTGGGTTGCGACCAGAGCTGAGAACGGCTGGGCACAGGTCCTTGATCTGAGGCCCATGGAACCCTTGATAAAATACCAGAAATTCACCAACTTGCATGAGACAAAACTCAGTTCCACTGCCCAACCCCGCCCCCCCCCCCCCCCGTCCCATCCCCCCCCCCCCCCGCCAACCGAGCATTCCCTCGGCCCGGAATGCAGCCAACCACAGTAGCTACGGCAATGCCTGTCACTTTGCCCAAGAGAGACCACAGGAAACCGCGGGCCCTTGCTCCTGCCGGCGCGGGCGCGGCTCCGGGCCGCCCTGGCGATGCTGCAGTAGTTACCAATCTGCCACTAAGGAGCAACGCTCGCAACTATGCCACGTGTTTTAAAAAGTATTTGGGGAATTTTAGTTTAATATAACTGGAACCCTTTGCAACCTTATGCATTTGATTTTATGCATTCAAAAACACATTTCAGTCCAAAGTCTCCTGGGCGTCACCAGGGCCTTGGCACACGGGGCACATACAACGGAAGGACTCTGTGGTCTGGGGCCCCGGGTCAGGACGGCGCCTCCTGGGGGCTTGCGGGGGAACAGCTTCCTGCGTGCAGCGCGGATCCTTGGTAAGGAGCTGGGACCCCAGACTGGCAGACATGAGGTGCACAGCCACAGAGTGAATTTACATATCCATTGTCCCCCCCTTTATTAATTTCTCTAACAAAGCTAGCACTTGCCTTCTAGCTTCGCCAGCTGACGCATGGCGGAGCCCTCTGATCTTGTGCCTAACGCTCACGTCAGCGGCCATACGGGATAGAAAATGTCAGTCGTCGCTTGCTCATTCGCTGCATCCACAGAAAATGCAGCATGCGTTTCTTTGGTGAGATTTTCTTTCCAAGCCTAAGTATGTGATTTCTAAAGCTTTTGCAGTGAGAATAAAAGGATTCACTTAAAATTGATTCCTGTAAGCCCTAATTATACAGTACATTTCATAATAAGCATTGCAAAATTGCAGCCCGGGAACAAAAAAAAAGCGTTTAGTTAGTAATATATTGTCACTACAGTGATCAGTGTGCCAAATTTAGTTCCCAGATAAATAAAAGGAAACCTTGAAAGCCGAACAGAAGTCTAGTGTAAGCGGGGGCTTCACTAGAACTCTGGCAGTGAAGAGACAAGCCCTTAGCATAGATGTCGGAGCGTCTTGATGCCTTTATACTCAGGACAGTCCTCGCGCTGCCTCCGGGTTCATGGCCCCCACGCCTCCTCTGTGGAAGCAGCGGTTCCAGCCGCCGACAGAAGCAGACCTCGGCGCCCCCAGCACAAGTTCCTTCTCAGAGAAGGCGGCCCGTGCTCAGCCGTGGCCCCAGCGGACTTCACTATGGAGCCCTGTCACTCGCGGCGGCAGCAGGCGGAGGGGAGGGTGTGGGAAACCCCGGGGAGAGCGATGGCTGACCGGGGACAAGGGAGGGCGGCCACCTTCCGCTCAGCCCCTGGGGTCCGGCCTGCACGCACACCCAGGACGGCGGGGGCAACCTGCCTGCGCCCAGTGTGTGTGCGGGATCGGGGGCCTGCACATCGGTTCTCCAGGTCTAAGGGGAACGCCAAGCCATTGTAGTTAAAATGTTACCTTTTTTACGGAGAGTAAACGTGTTAAAAATTAGTTCTGAGAATGCTCACAAAGAATAATTTAGCGTCATCTAAATGGCGAAGAGTGGCAGCAAGAAAGGCGGGCACCATTTTCTCGGCAGCAAAAGCATTCTCGGGGAAGAAAATCGTTTCCAGGGAAACGGACGGGGACCTGTGAGGGCGAACCCCGTCTCCGCAGGGCAGGGGCCTCACCCCGCGAGCGCCTGCCCTCGGCGCCCGCCCCCCGACCGTCACCCTCCGAGGCCCATCGCGACGGCACCGTGCTGCTGCCGAGAGGGCAGGGCTTGCGGCGGGCGCCCGACGGCCCGTGCCGAGAGCTGTTTTTCAGGAACAGGGATTTTTTTCCAGATACACTGGTTTATTTAAGTACTACTGAAGCAATATTTGGGAAATTAAATTCCGTATCGTTCTTATGTCATATTACCAAGTAATACTGAACTTTAAGGGCCTGAAGAACCATTGTCACACAGGCAGATGCTGACGAGAACACTACTGTTAGACGGGGGCAGGGGGCTCTCAGCCAACTTCCCATTCAAATCGCAGCTCTACTGCACAGCAGCTGGGGGCCTTGGGCGTGTTACCTAACTGCCATGTGCCTCGGTTTCCTCGTCTGTGAGAATAACAGCACCTCCCTTACAACGTTGTCAAAGGATTAAATGAGTGTTGGAATGTGTAAAGCATGGATGAGCATACCTAGCGCAGACTGAATACTACACAAATGTTCCGTTATTATTATTACTATCTTATTGCATGTTCAGTACTTAGCATAGTGCTCAGCACTGTAGACCAAGCTTAAAGATATCTTAAATCTTTCCATGGTTCACTGCTTTTTGTTCTTCTCATTTGGAGAAGAGCTTCCCCAGAGATCACGGCACAGGGAGCTCCATGCAGTGGGCGTTGGATTTGATTACATAACCGAGACACAGATCACTGCAACATTAAGCCCAGAAAATAAAAAATTCCTCATGAGCAGAGCCGTAAGATTTCAGATGGGTCTTGATAGTCCCCTTCCCATCTGAAAGGTTGACTTAAGGAAGATAAATTATGTTGTGTGTTATTATATTGTTTCAGGGTGAGAGGAATTTTGAAACGTTTAGAGTTTTCTCAAAGAAAATAAAACTTGATGGGTTAAGCAATAGTGTGGTATCTAAAGTCCCTTGTAAGATTTTCCTTTATCAGTTTTTGGGCAAACATCCAAAAATTTCATTAGATTTCAAACTATATAACATTAGAATACTTGAAGTATTCTTACTTGTTTCTGATGAATCAATGTAAAAAAAAATCTTTTCTACCACACACACCCCCACATTGCCCTAAACTTCAATTCACCACCCACTTTTTCGGAAAGACAGGCAGAGGGAAGAAGGAAGAGGGGGGAGAGGGAGGGAGAGAGATGCATGTGTGCATTTGCACACCTGTGCAGGCAAGAGGTGGGCCGAGGGGGAGAGAGAGAGAATAATGAAGGCCGCTGAGGACAACTCTACCCAATTACGGAGGAGGAACTGCTGTCTATGTTAAGAAACTACAGGCAACATAAAAAAAGTTCATATGAAACGAAATATTATATGTAAGCCTGATTTTACTGTGATATTTGTGCACCGTATCTTAAAAGAAAAAAAGGTTTTTTAAAAGAGCATTCACTCATTTAGTAGAAAGGGTGTTAAATTATTTAGTAAATTATTTTCCACTGGAAAAAAATAGAAATAAACTGTGTCAGAAGACCCTCTGCTTCTGCCCCGGGTTCGCATTTACAATGATTGATAGCCGGGCCACACCCCCACACACACTAGCCACCGAGGGCGAAGGCAGCTCAGCGGCGCCCGGAGTTCATCCCCCGCCCACCCACCATCGATGCGGCTTCCGTCCGCGAGCCTCCCATTTATAACAAAGCCTCACACTGTGCGGGTTTTTATGAGTTCCTGGGCTTTTCTGTCTTTTTTATCTTCCTATGCATCAGCAAAGCAACTGGCAGATTCTTTAATAAAATATATTATACACATTAATATTTATAAGCCTATGAATTGATGTTTAAATAAACATTCACCAACTTACGCCAATTCTTTTGTTTTAGACGTTAAGTCACACTTACATTGTCTGGAAAGTCAGCCTTTAGCTCGGTGACACTTTGACACCAGTATGCTGCCGTTTTCTCACTGATGAGCTCGATGTTCAGGAAGGAGCTTTGTCCTGGGCCGTACAGGGGGCCTGAGGTGGTCCCCCGGATGATCCTGGGCGACACGTTCGTCACGATGTCCTGATGAAAGAGGGAGGAGGGTGAGTCTCCGTCTGAAGAGGAAAACCTACCATCGTGCTTCTCGGCTCATTTCCATGTGACAGTGTTTTACCAAGTCCCTTCTCACATTTTTATAGAAGAATTTTAAAATAGATTTTAAATGGCAGCTGAACATCAACTAGTTCCCAATAAAAGAGTAAAATAAACCATGTTAGCTTCGTTTAAATTACATTCTGTGATTATAAGGTTAGCGCAGTGAAAAAATATAAAAATACGTAAATTCATTTACACTGGTTTTGTGCATACGCATCTTAGTTTGTTTGCACTTCAATAATAAATAAAAACACGATCAGTAAATGTAAGACTATCATTTCAGTCTATTTAATCTGAGTATTTCCAATGAGATTTTGATTCCAATTCGTAAGAGTTAATGTTTGTAAAGAAAAACAATTTCCTAAAAGGCAATTCGGATAAAAGTCAGCCAACAAGTCCCTGTCAGTGTTGCTTCCCGGCTCATAAGGCTTTGACGCGGGTTCTAACAAACTGACGGGCCACCTCAGCCCCAGGACGCCTGCTATGGACCTGCCTTCGGTGAGAACTCGCTCTCCCAGGAGTGAATGGGAATACTGATACCTTCCTGATAACTATAAACAGTCAGCTGTCAAATTAACCTGTTTGTTAAGTGTAATTAACATCCCACAACTGCCTCCACTAACAAAGAAGAGTAACATTCTTACATTGGTAAGAACTAAAAAGAAACAAAGAAGAAAAATGTTTCTTCAGCCAACTTCCAATTAAAATTAGTTTTGAGTAAAGGCCATGTAGTTAAGGATTTATCAGAATTAGTCATTTAAGTACCCCTCCTCAAAATCTTGTCACTTTTAGTGAGATAACATGAACCCCCATTAGTATATAGCAATTAAGGTCAATTTACATATTTTAATTAAGAACCACCCCATATAAAACAATTAGCGTAATAGGCATACTAACTGGATTTCATAACATTTGGACGTTTTTCCAACTAGATAGACAGGAAACCTTAATTAGCATTAATTAGTACTGATCTGCATATGTTTGATAAGGCATACCCTTGCCACAAAAGATTATTTATTCCTGAATCTGCCAAATGCTACAGTTGCAGAGGATAAAAGGACTTTTCTTCACATTGCATGTTAATTTCTGGTAATTTACATTCACTTTTGCATTCGAATTAGTATATTATAAAATAAATGGTATAAATGTTACAATGAGCCTCCTTAAATATGTACATTTTACTTATAGGAACCCTGCCAGTTAATGTTTTACTAATTAAGCCGTTTCACGGCTATTGTAATTGCGGGCAGCATCGCCAGGCTCGCTTTGATTTGCTATTATGAAACCATGTTACAGGATCTTAACGCGGGAACGACAAGCCGTCGCTGGAGGACGCCGAGGCCTGGCAGCCCGGCTCCCGAGGCGGCAGAGGCCTGCAGACGCGCCGCGTGCCCCGGGCGAGCGCGGGGCCCAGCGGCTCCGGCGGGGGGGTGCTCCCTGGCCGCGCTTTCGTGCTCTGAGAGGGCCTGTCCCGCGCAGTCCCCCAGCCGCGGCTGGCTTGCTTCTAAGGCCGATGTCTAAGTGCCACCAATCCTGGCCCGGAGGCCCCGGGCCCCGCTGCAAACGCTCCTTGCCTGGACAGACCAGGGTCTGCAGAGAGGACCTGGCCAGGTGGGCGAACAGAGCCCCCATTCAGTTCACTGCAGTGCGCCCCTAGCGCGGTCACTGCCACCAAGAAAGAGGCACTCGTGTGACTGTTCCGCACTCTGCTGGCCGGGCAGTGGCACTTGCTGCCCACTCACCAGGCCGAGGTCTCTGCGTCCCCCCAGGCTGCAAGCTTAAGCGAGCGCCGGTCGGTCCCTGTGGGAAGCCTTTCCGGCCTCTCCAGCACCACTGAGGCAGTGGCTCACGCCGCCCCAGTGACCCAGGCCTTCCTCAACTGCCACCCTGCACCCCCGCACTGGGAGTCTCAGCTCAGTCTGCGCCTTTCAGTTGAGCCTAAGCTCTGGCGGGGAGGAGGCTCCATCTTGTTCACTATTAGCTGCCCAGCGTCTAGCCAGGCGGTAGGTGGCGCTCTAAGGCTGTTTTTAAACCCCCACAGGCCCTAGGACAGGTCTCTGCCTCCAACAAGGGAGCTCTGCAGTGCTTACTGCTGGCCAGGCAGGTGGTTTGGGGCTTACGTTCAAATCTCAGGCACTGTACCGTCCATTCCTCTGGAATTGGGGCCTTCTCTGGATCCTCTGAAGGCAGACCCCCACCCCGACCAGGGCTGGATCCTGGGGCCGGCCTGCCATGCTGCAGACTGCCCATAACCCCAACCCCCCCCCCGCCCCCTCCATGATGTGCTTGAACTTGATCGCAGGGTAGCTTCTAAGACCTCCTTGATGGCTGGTCCTAAATTGCTGGGTTTATCAAATCTCTAGAAACCGAACAGAACACAACCCCGCTCCCCCTGCATTCAGATGCAAACCAACTTTTATTCTTTTCTAGTTCAGGTGGATGTGAATGCCTGCCCTGCCCCTGGCCAGGTTAGGGGACTTCTCAGATTTCCCCCTCTGGCCTCTGCACCCTAGGCTGAGCCCACACCTCCAGAGCAGGGGTAGGGAAATGGTTAGTGTCATAAGGTAAAGAAGACACAGAATGAAAGAACGGTACCGAGACTCAGGGAAAACTGGATGGTCCAGGAATTCTACGCCACGCGCTACTTTGTAGCAATGCTAATCACAATCGGGCCACAGCAGTCGAGTCAATACGCTACCACCCTCATCAGAGGGCAGTTAAACTGATGCTTCTTTCTTAAAATGCTTCCCCTGCCCCGCTCCGCCACTGTGAAACCTTAAAACTTAAAATTCCGCCATTAGCGATTCTCCCTCCGTGTCCCGTGAGTGACGTTCACGGCGACTGCTGGGGTTGTGCTTCTCTGTAACCTGGCACTGGGCAGTACGGGGGTCATGGGAGGGTTACCCGCGATGTCCTCGACCGAGATGAGACAGGAACAAGACATGAAGGGGGAATTTCATCCACTTCATGAGAGCGATGGTTACTCCTTTATGCTCATTTCTCATCATGCCTCTCTAAACAGGTCGGTTTTCTCTTTAACTCAGGCAAGGAAAAAAAATGCATTAATAATTGCCCAAATCACAGACGTCTACTGTGTAGAGCTCGTCAGCTCTTGGTAGGTCCACTGTTACCCCCACGGAGCACATTCCAGAGTCAACCAAAGGGCCGAGACGCAGGATCGCCCAACAACCAATTAGTAATGGAAATTTTATTCTAGGTTTTCCTTCCCAAATTCTGATATATTTGCTACTACTTTGTCAAAAACTGTCTCCAGTGACTTGAGTCTTCTTCGAATTTTTAAAGTAAGTGAAAGATGAATGAAAACTTGGATATGACCAATTATCCTTGCTTATATGATTAGAGTTAGAGCTTCAATAATTGGGCAATAATTTACTAAAGCTTTTAACCTGGGAATACTAGAATTTGAGTATAATTTTATAAGATAATAATTTGCTTTAATATTTAATAGGTAAATCATATTAGCATTGGTTAAGGGAGTTAATATAAAAAATAAACATTCGAGAATAGTTAGCACAGATAAGAGTTCATTCTCTGTAACAAAGAAGATGAATTACCACAGTTCTAATCTTCAGTGCATTAACAATATTCAGATTTTTTTTAAATTGATGTTTCTGGCTGAGGAATTGTTAGGTGATATCTCTTCTTTACGTGACACTGTAACCGCCACTATAAAATCGAGTGTTAGTGACCTCTGAACATTTGAAGTAATGACAGTGATTTTTCAGCATTAGCAAAGAGATTTAAATGGTAAACAGACTGATTATATGTTTAAGTTCATTTACTTGACCTCTCTTATCCTTTAAAAAAAAACTACAGTGTTTCCATGGTTACTACTGGATTAAGATAGTCACAATGGTCTCAATATGGAAAAAGGATATTTTGCGGAGATGTTTTGCTAAGAGACTAGGAAGGAAATGGAGTCCAAAAAACTTGGCTAGAAATGAAAGTTAAAATTTGCAGAGTAAACCACAAGCTACCATACCAGAAGAATGTTAGTGATACATTATTAAGTGAAAAGAGCAAACTGTGAAAAAAAATACATAGACTGTGATACCTAAAACAAGCAAAGTGCTACCATATATTGTTTAGTGAGACATACTTATGTACAAAATATAAGAGAATAATTAAAAGTGATTGAGGTAGTTACCTCTTGGAAGAGGCAGATGCTGGGAGAGAAACTGGGAATAAACGGCTTCCTAAAATCATTAGTGACCTGCAATTTTAAAGAAACTTTACTCCTGCAAGGCCGAAGCACGGGAGGGAGGGCGGAGCCTGTTTAGGGGCCGTGGTGGTGGGGTGAGAGGTGGCCTGCTCTGCCGGGACGGTGGGGACGGTTCGCCCGGAAACCGGTAACTGGAATCTTGGGCTGTGTGTTTCTTTTTTAACTTCCAAGAGTCTCCTGTGACCTGGTTGCTTTTTTTGACAAACAAATCTTTTAATTACTTGGTCTTTATACGCTAGAATTTCAGAAATGAAATGTACTGCAGGATAAATTGTCTTCTACAATATATCCCTTTCTCTGTAAGTGGGATTTAACCGTACATTATTCCATAAAAGAGGGGAATCACATTGTAAATAAACCGAATGACAAATATCCTATTACATGACGATTCCATCACTATAAACCTGGGATGCTGCTACCCTGGGGTCAGCACAAAGGAAGACCAACTGTAACAGTGGCCTGGTGTCCAGCGTGACTCCACTGCCACAGAAGAACCCTCGAACATTTCATTGTCTTCATGGACTATGCACACTAATATTTGGTCACCCTCAAACATAAACTTTATAATCATCAGAATAACCTCTGCCTAGTTGCTTCAGAGGTGCGGAATAGGTAGAATGAGAGTTTTTTCATAATACATCTATTTTTCTATACTAGTGTCTTATATAAAGACAGCCCACAAAAA